AAAAATAATTAAAATACCACCTATCAATGTCCAATATTCAAGATATCTGACTGCCAGGACAGCCCAACCACAGATGTTGATGATTTATAAGTATTAACAGAAGCTTATTTATAGATAGAGATCGCCATCAAACACAATCCTATAATAATAATAATCCCATACAACTTGCCAGCAAAAAAATACTATCCCCTACACTTTCCCTATACAGGTAGTCCTCATTTAGCAACTTCCTTGTACAGTGACCATTTGCAGTTATGATGGTGATGAAAAGGTAACTTTACAACCAATCTTCACATTTATGACCTTCAGAGGTCTGTAAAGCAAAAGAAAGCTGAAGTAAGATCATAAGCACAGTCGTTAACAACTGCTTTGCTTAAAGACTGAGTTGCCAGTCCCAATTGTGGTCTCTAAATGAGGACTACCTGTATTAATCATATGGAATACAATTAAAAGTAAATAGATTATTTAGTTATAATCTACTGGACCACATCAACAAAAACAAATTTCTTTTTGACAGGTAGCAAAACCTAGCAAACCCAGGGAGGTTTACTCTTCAATAGCTTTAAGGCAAATGAAGGAAATGCTCAATTACTTTCTATTTATGGAACTTTTTGAAAAGGGCTTAAGCAAAGTTATAAGGTCTCATAGGCTGCTGATCACCATGGGAAGCTCTGTATTCAGAGACAACCGTCACAAAATCTCAGTGGTTGAGGAACTCAATGGAAGAGAAAGCAATTACTTTCAGCGTCCACCTTACAGATTTCTCATGGGCTAGTGAATGAAAGTGATGGACTAGATCAGAGTTGAAGTCCACACATCTTAAAGTTGTCAAGTTTGAAAAGCAATGGACTAGATAAATCTCTGATCTGCTCTGGGAGGATTCTTTTTATCTTTACAAACAGAAAAAGGCTAACGTCTCCAGCACCAGTGTTCTCTTTATTGTTTCTAAAAAAAGAAAAATGCCAGGATGTGCAGCCTTGACCCACCTGCAAGCTGATGAAAAAAAGGTACTCTGCATTTGCTCAGACACTCATTTGTTATTCTTTCAAGTGTTACAGAGTGATTAGTGGCTTTAAGAGCTATTTCTGGGTTTGGTTCTCAGTCAAGGTGAAGCTCTAACGTTAGTGCTGTTTTCCCGTGCCTTAGTTCCCTTACTAACAAATTAAATAAATGAAGCTCTTTCTCAAATAAACACAACAATGTTATTTTAACATAAACATCAGAAAAATGACAACGCTAAGGATTTGGGGAAGGGAAATCAGCAAGGTGAGAATCATTTTTCCTGTAACCAGAACTTAATAAAACTAAAAATGCTAACTCAGTTGAGATGGCTTGCACTTTTCAGAAATAGTTATTGCTTCGTTACATAGCATGCCACCATGATCTGTGCAAAAGTACATTTCCCTGTCCTCCAAAAGGTTAATTCAGTTTCTCTAACACGTAGGAAACCTTGCATATGGACTATCATTTTAAAAAGTTGTAGTAAGACATTTGTCTTTGAAGAGAAGCATTTCTGAGCCAACCCTGCTTACGATGGCTGGTGTGGGTCTTCCGGGCTGTGTGGCCGTGTTCTGGAAGTTTTGTTTC